GCAGAGGTCACCTTATGTTGTATATCAGTAGGCTTATGTTGGACTTCATTGTGGAGACCAAAGGTTACCTTATGTTGATCATTACAGAGACCAGAGGTCACATAGAGTCTATACAAATGCCAAGACCAGAGGTCCTCTTATATAAAACATAATTAGGGAGACAATGCAGAGGTCACGTAAAGCTGTGAATGAATACGGAGACCAGAGGTCTTCATATATTGCACATTACAATGTTATAGGGAGACCAGATATCACAAAAAGTTTATGTGGATGCAGAGATCAGGCTTCTACGATACTAGACTTTGTTTAACTAAAAGACAACTCAAAAACAAAATAAAGGCAATAATTATGGAAATAAGCTTCTGAACATTTAATCATGTGAAGAAAAAATTACTTCTTTCAGTCCATAATTTCTCATATCTTACATAAACAAAGATTGCAACAGTTCTTTTATATCATAACACAAATAAAGATTATGAAATATGTGGAGATAACGAACAGTATTCGAGCTCAAAAGTCCATTAAACCTTACAAAATAGGAGCTGAGCAAACACGGACCTCCTAAATATCAGAGGTGGGATCAGGTGCCATGGAGGAGTGAGCATCCCATGCCGACCGGTCACACTCGCCGTGTGCTCCTTATCATGTTCTGGAAAAAACGGAAAAATCCGTGGACAACTCAGTGTGTGAATAATGGGCTAACAATCAGTTTGAAAAAAGTCAGTCAGCATTTGACTATATTGCCAACAAGGTCATTGTATCGACCATAGAACTTACGAAATGATAACTTTAAACGAGACTACTGATATTCTTGCTTCATCAACTTCTTTGTCAATAACTTACCTCGTTTTAAAAATTGTTCATACGTAGAACATGCTCTTCCGTATTGCATCAACTGAGAGATATCATTATGGAGACCAGAGATCAACTTATAAAGTACATTAATAGGGAAACAAGATGTTCAATATAAAGTAATCTCTGGTCTCCCTAATTATGTACAAAATAAGGTGTCCACTGGTCTCCCTATTGATGTACAATATAAGTTGACCTCTGGTCTCCCTAATTATGTACAATATACAGTGTCCTCTGGTCTCCCTATTAATGTACAACATAAGGTGACCTCTGGTCCCCCTAATTATGTACAATATAAGGTGACCTCTGGTCCCCCTAATTATGTACAATATAAGGTGACCTCTGGTCTCCCTAATTATGTACAATATAAGGTGACCTCTGGTCTCTGGTCTCCCTAACAAAATAAGTTACCTCTGGTCTCCCTAATTATGTACAATATACAGTGTCCTCTGATCCCCCTAATTATGTACAATATAAGGTGACCTCTGGTCTCCCTATCGATGTACAAAATAAGTTACCTCTGGTCTCCCTAATTCTTTACAATATACGATGTCCTCTGGTCTCCGTATTTATGTACAATATAAGGTGACCTCTAGTCTCCCTATTGATGTACAAAATAAGTGACCTCTTGTCTTGCTACTGATGTACAATATAAGGTGAACTCAAATCTCCCTATTGATGTATATAATAAGGTGACCTCTTGTCTCCCTCTTGGTGTACAATATACAATATAAGGTGACCTCTTGTCTCCCTATTGATGTACAATATAAGGTGACCTCTGGTCTCTTTTTATGTACAATATAGGGTGTCCTCTGGTCTCCCTTATTGTGTACAATATACGGTGACCTCTGGTCTTCCAATTGATGAACAATATAAGGTAACCTTTGGTCTCCCTATTAACTACAATATAAGGTGTCCTATGGTCTCTATATTGATGCACAAAATAAGTGACCTCTGGTCGACATATTGATATACAATATAAGGTGACCTCTGGTCTCCCTACTGATATACAATATAAGGTGATCTGTGGTCTCCCTAATTATGTAAAATATAAGGTCACCACTGGTCTCCCTATTGATGTTCAAAATGAGTTACCTCAGCTCTGGTTTCCCTATTGATGCATAAAATAAGTGACCTCTGGTCTCTCTAATTCTGTACAATATTAGGTGTCCTCTGGTCTCCCTATTAATGTACATAATAAGTGATCTCTGGTCTCCCTATTGATGTATAATATAAGGTGACCTCTGGTCTCCCTATTGATGTACAAAACATGTTACCTCTTGTCTCCATAATTATGTACAATATACAGTGTCCTCTGGTCTCCCTATTGATGTACAAGATAAGGTAGCCTCTGGTATCCGTTTGATGTGCAATAGAAGATGACCTCAGGTCTCCCTATTGATGTACAATATAAGGTGATCTCTAGTTTCCGTTTTGATATGAAACATTAGTTTACCACTGGTCTCCACATTGGTGGTATCTGGTGACTGTTTTGCACACTCTTGTCTCCTTATTGATATATAATACCTGATGACCTCCGGTCTCCGCATTGATATGACACATAATTTTATCATTCCATATGCAAGATATTGCTCAAAGCAGGCTTATGACAATAAATTTGATGTGACCAGGGATGATCCCTCCTACGCATCTGATCCTATCTCTTGAACTTAGGTATATGTGTGTTACACTCTGTTTTCAAATTCCTTTGTAAATAGGATTTTTGAGATCAATCTCTGTTTGTTATCTCAACCTTTTTATTTCAATTGTTCACTATATGTTTGTAGTTGAAAATCAGTTAATTTAAAAACAAATTCAGGATATTAAAACTTAATTTGAACTTAATTTTATTTTCAATTAAAGTTCTTAAAGTCTGTGGATTTTCCTTTTTCTATAGCAAAAGAGGTAACTTTTATTTGTATTATGATATAAAATAACCTTTATTTGTGTTATGATAAAAGAACTGGTGTACTCTTTGTTTAAGTAAGATAGGAGAAATTATAGAGTGAAAGAAATATTTTATTCTTCACACGATTACATGTATTAAGAAGCTTATTTTCATACTTTTTGCCTTTACCTTTTTTCGTTGTCTTTTAGTTAAGCAGAGTTAAGAATAGTAGATTACTGATGATATTACTGAACCATAAACCTAAATTGAACACTTTAGGTCTATGACTGAACGAATGAAGAAGTCTTCATTTCCCTGTGTGCAATTTTTGACACAGTAACAAATACATTGATTCTCAAACTGCTGATAATAATACATGTTTTGTTTGATAAAGTTAAGCAGTGAAACATTTGTGAAAAGGGGGAGGGGGCGTGCGACACCGAGCCTTAATTATGACATCAACTTGTTGTCATGTTTTAATGTTTAAAAAATTACCTTCTGTCTCTTCTAGTCTATTAGAAAGATCTATATAAAGGTGGTACTATAATTGTATTGGAGTAAGACAGAAAAAAATGTTTTTTTTAAAATAAATTTCAATCAAAATATAGGGTGACCTGAGGTCACCATATTGATACAGATGAATTTACTTTTGTGCCTTTAATCCCTGAAGAGTCCATATAATGTTTTATTACTATGCAAAATGACGAACTATTTGCGGGTGACCCGAGGTCCTAGTTGAGCGTACGTTTTATCCTCCTGCGCTTCGTAAAGGAAGAAAAAACATTGTAATTCTTTGCGCTAGAAAACATCAAACCTGGACATAAAAGTGAGATTAATGACAGGCACCTACCAACTAGTTTAGAAATAAGAAAGAAAGTAAGTCTATATGTATACTCTGTAAAGAAGAAACAGGTATTAACGAAATTCATTTTATGAAAAAAAAAACAATTAAAAGAGCGTTATATGGATATAATACGTAATCTAATCATCGAGAATACAAACAATGACATAAACATTGAATTTTTAACAAACAGGGAAAAACATATACGCAGTATTAGACTGTAGCCATTGCATATATATCGGAAACGAATTTATAAAAAACATCCTGAACAAATTCATATGGTACCTGAATTTAGGGGGGAAACATGTCGAGACTTTTTGCCCTACACCTGTCAAGATCGAATACAAATAAAACTTTATTTAAAGGAGTTTGAATTATCATATTTGATTCTTTTTTACTCATGAAAAGTTATTCGTATATGTAGAATTATCCCTTTTTAATAAGTTTAAATTCCTAGCCCTATTTTATCTGATGTAATTTATATTTTTAAACGTCTTTTGCTTTTTTTTCTATTTTAAGATTTGTTTAGGTTAATAAAATACAGAAACAAATCAGTAGAGCTGTATATGCATCACTGTTTTAACCTACATGTACCTACAACTATCTTAAATTTTGAAATAAGCAATATATAGTTTTTAATACTGTGACCTGACGGACATTTATAAGGTCTTATCTAAATGCTTAAATATATAGGGTTAAGGTCATCTATTCATGGACTTCCCAAGACGAAAGAAAGAATATGCTCTATAGTTCATGTACATACAAAAATGAAAACGAGAGCCAGACATTAACAAATGGTCTACATTGACCATAACTGTGAACGCCAGCTATTGAAGTAGATTCAAACGATTCAGTTATAAAACGATAAAGTTTTTTTTTTATCAGTTTGTGTATTTGCCACTGGAAACTGTTTTGCAAACGTGATCAAGAAAGTATCTTGAGTGAGATACATGAAACGTGTACTTGGTTTGGAAGTGAATAGAAACAGCATCCTTGTTATGAAGGCATTATTACCTTCATCTTTGAGTACATGTTTTTGGTTGGAATTTTTTTAAAACTGATCAAAGAAATTTTATATGCATAATAACAATGGTTTCCAAATACAAAGAATAGGATTTAACAATATCCGCCAAATTTAAGGGTAGTATACCTTGTAGACCCAAATCCGCCAGATATGTGACCCACGAGAAAATCCTGCTAGTTGGGTATATAAAATGGAGAAACTTTCAGATTACTTTTAACTTTTACGGTAAAAGAATTGTGATAAGGTCATGAGGATTCCTGGAGAATATCTATGACCTAGCATTGTTTTGGGTAATTTTAGTCCCCGTAGGCCTCGGTAGTTTGGAGATTAATCAATGGTACATAACCCTATTTTACACCGCTCAGTACAAGTATAGAGAACAACATTTACAGTACCTTTAGTTGTTTTTCCAAGACCCAAAACTTCCAAACTCTCCATACTTCCTTTTCTCTCAGCTTCAACAAATTCCTTGCTGTAAAATTACAGCAAACCATAATTTATACTTTTCAATTGCTCTCTCTCTCTCTCTCTCTCTCTCTCTCTCTCTCTCTCTCTCTAACGTATCAGCAATATTTCAAAATTCGAACTATGAGTGCATTAAATGCAAGAACAAAAACCTGTTTCTAAGCACTGGGGTGCTAAAAGCTACTTACATTTTTTCTTGTAGGGCCTTTTCTGCAATTAAAATAAAGTTAAAAAATATATATATGCATATATTGCAAGGGTTTGAAACAGAGCTACATACCTATCAGGCCCGTAGAAAGCAATTTCACTTTGAGGGGGCACAACCATACATTAGTAAATACTTACGCTTGTATCGTGTTTGACACATGTAGATGATCCCGACCACTAGAAACAGAAATATGAACCCCCCTATACCACCTCCTACAATCTCCACGGCCCTAGACTGCCACACTGAAACTATACAGAAATTATATAGGATTTATTGTCCTTTGCTTTTATCCATTTCAACAGAGATGATAACAACCATACATGACTGAAACTACATAGACAGTATAAATTAAAGAATTTAAGGTTCTTTTACTTTAAGATTGGTTTCAACCCTTGGGTTTCTTCTGAATTATAGTACATTTGTTCAGTTTTTACCAATGCATGTAAAACTGGAAATATGACAATTCCATTACACACTTTTCTTTGCAAGAAAAGCGGGTTGATATTTACCGAAAGAAAGTACCTTTATTTGGACGGAACACTTTTATGGAGAACTCATAGATAGCGTATCCATAAGAATTGTTGATGCACAGAATGTATTCCCCTGTCCAGGTAGACGTAATGTTATTTAGACGTATGTATGCTGTGTACACAGGCACGTCTTTAGAAATCGCTATATCATCAGAAAACGACATAACCGTCCTGTTGAATTCAACATCAATTTGAAGTTGGTTTCTGTTGTTAGACTCTACGATGGTAAGAGATTGAAGAGGAGGGGGAGAACTGGCTATTGTAATATTAAACAGAATAGACTGCCCTTCGGCGACATGGAATGATTTCCGCCTATCCGGTAAAATTAAAAGTGGTGCACCTGGTTTGAATGAAAAGAAAATTATCCTAAATTTGTCCTTGCCAACAAACTGGTCATAAAAGCAATAGATAACATATTTTGGAAATAAAACATGTGATACAATTATATGAGACAGTATTAAAATGCTTTATGTTTAAAAAAAAAGTAATTTTATTTTTAGAAACTCTTTTTGCAACCGAAAACGAGAAATACATTTTTTTAAAATAAATTCCACTGCCTGAACTATCTTGCGTAAATTACAAGAACAGGGAAAAAAAGCGGTAACAACAACGAACACGCTTATAATGAACTCACGCTTACAGCCAAGGGATTGTTTTAAACGTATTATAAACATTGGATCACAACAATTCAACAACCTTCGTTCATGGCACTTCGCTATAAGCGTGTTTTACTGTATACAAGCTTTATCACATGTGTTGATCTCACCTTGAACGTCTAGATGAACTGTTTTTGTCAGATTTTTCCTTCCGTTCTGGGTTGTATTAGTATCACATGACTGGTACTTGATGACACAAATATAACTTCCTGTGTCCGCATAGGAAACACTTTTGAAGAAGAGAGTAGTTTTATTGCTGACAATACTGTCAGATCCACGTCTGTACCAACGTGTCTGTACGTCTTTCATGGCCCCCCTTGCTATGCAGTTTAGTTCTGTACTCTCCGATGTGTTCACGACAGTTACATTAGATGAGTCGTACATCTCTACCAAGTACAAGTTTTTATAAATTCCCTAATGTTTTAACATTATCATCTGAGCTGTAAAAGGGTTATCATTGTTTATCTAACTCTATTTTTAGGCGAATCATGCGATATGTAATTATACAACTACATATTGTATCTGGGAATTAAATGCCGTTATACATTGAAAATAAAAACATTCAAACCTGGAATTGTAGATATATTTGTAATTGATGTGCCATTGAGTATTTTTTGGTTTTCATGGCAACCATCACTCACTGCCTCAAAAGTTCTGGTAGAATCCACAGGAAAATTTACTGGAGTGTTGTCAATTGAGACTGTAAACGATAGGGAATCGTTGTAAATTGTTACAGAACAGGTGTCAACAGATGAGGAGGTCACGTATAATACACAGCTCTCAGTATAGGCTATATGTAGTCAAACTTGGAATTTAAAACAATAAATTGTAAGATTTTTAAAATCCTTAATTCATTACAGATTAACTGTAGCAAAAACTGGGCAGATTCAAGGAAAGGCATAGGGGACGTATGTCTCAATTCTGCCACTAGATTACTTGTAAAAGTGAAAGTAATGTGTATTGCATAAATATTTAAATTAGTTACTCACATGTATAAACACTAATTTTTATTGTTTCTCGAGAATCAATGATAAATATTAATAACTAATTTTATATTCCAGAGAAAGCCTTAAAACATCAAGTTATCATAGTTTCACTACAAGCAACTTTTAGCGCCATAAAAAAAAATCATTACGGGGGGGGGGGGGGGGGTCTCATTACACCAACTATATACAAAAACCTAGATCCACCATCGGAAAATCACAAAAAAAAAAGACAAAGTGAGACAAATATTAAAAACATAGGTTTTACCTGTGATGGGTTCGCAAAACACTGATGTCCAGACAACACAAAGCATCTGCATCAAGAAAAATAAATACATTTTTATTTTGGTATTTTCCAATCAATTACATTGTATAGAAGGAAGGATATACATCTGTTTGTCATGACCGGGAAATGAACGCATTACGAGGTTCCAGTTCCTTTTGCAAGATAGTGCAATTAAAATTATAATGTCAGCTATGTAAAACATAGGGTTATTTATTATAAGAGGTAATTTTTGAAAGAACTTAAGTTGAATACTCGAAAACTCGCAACAAGGATACGTACGTTGCAGTTCTCAGTGTGTATAACATCTAAATGTTCATAATTCCAGATGCAATAGATATTGACAACAAATTAATTTTAATTACGTTTATTGATGAAACATTAATTACATTTAATGTTGATTGTTTATCAATATCTATACAAAGGTGTAAATATCCCCGTGGAACCCAAGGAAACGCAACCTGCCTATCGGGATGACCTCCCTTAGAACCTGATTATATTCACATCAGAAACGTCCATTGAAATTCAAGATGGAATCGGTGACATTTAAACAGAAACTACCCAAATGAACAAAATACTAGTAGTCCCACCATATAAATACACTGTAGTGTCCATGTCCTTCCCTTGCTATCGAGTCCAACAACTAGAGTATTTCACATACACATCTCTTTTGATATAACCATAGGCTTCCGTTATTGAAATCACAGAAGAGAAAGAAGTCAGTATCTAAACCTTTTAGTTGTTGTAAAGGAGCATTTATTTGTATGCCAAACAAAAAATTACCAAATAAGGGCCATAAAGGGATGCAAAATCTTGTAAAAATTAAACCCCGACCATAGACGGGTGCTGGCTATTGCTTAAAGTAATATGAGCTGCAATTTTGATGTCAGAAATTTTTGTTGCAAAATTGTAATTAACTATGTCAATGACAGATAAAAAGAACGTTTATAAACTTCTGGTGTTCATATTTGCGATGGAAGGACTATTTATAGCTTTGATTGAAGCAAAATTACATTATTGTCGTCCTGAACAATATTGATTTCTTATATAATACTATATACTTGATTGTACAGAATCCTTTATTCTGAAACAATTTGATACTTTATTTCTGTCTAATTGATCAAAAAGGTTTAAATTATATACAAATTTATCATAATAACACATTTTAACAGCAAAATAAAATTCTCAAAAATGCAGATCATATTGCTTTAAGTAAACACCAACCATATAGGGGTGCAAGATCCTGCTAAAATTAAACCCCGATCCTATAGGGGTTTAGGATATTGCTTAAGTAAACCCCAATGATATAAGGGTGCACGATATTGCTAGAATTAAATCATACATATAGGGGTTCAAAATTATCTTTATAAACTTATACCCCAATTATATAGATGTACAAGATCCCCCTAAAATAATAAATTATGGTTAGTTTAATATGATGTTACAAAATAATATACAAGATCAAAAAACAAAACAAAACAAAGCCAACCCCCAACCCCCCAACCCCCCCCCCCCCAAAAAAAAACAACTACAGGGGGGTACCATATATCTACAAATTAAACGATATATAATACATGTATATATATGTATAATTATTTGAGTTTACATCCAATCATTACTGCACATATGGAGTTTAAGATAAACAGATAAATACATGTGGTTGTAAAATGTATAATTAATCTAAATATATTTTACCCACCATTGTTGATAGACTTTATCAAGAAACAACAGCTCACAAATTATTATAATATTTCTTATATCCCTAATTATTCAAATGGACCCCATCAGCCAAAAATAACACCCACTTATTAATGGGACACCAGAAACTGGAGAGGCGAAAGAATGCTGCTCCTCTACATTCCGCAAGTAATAGGATATGCATCTATTTAGTTCATCATAGGATTGGACACAAGTTATTCCAACTTAGATTGTCATCTCCAACACAAACAAAATGACAAAACAGATACACGTCAGCTGCATAGGCGATGGTGCTATCAAACGCTCCAGTCGTGGTACCTAGTGGCTACAGCCAAAAATGCATATTTTTTAGGACCCCATATATTTCCGTATTACATGTACCCATATAAGTCTAACAAATTTCTCCTGTCGAAGATTTTTTAATAAAGTTCATTTCGTTTGATGCTTATGTGACGTCAGTTATTAGGCTCCTTGTGTGTTATATCGAATATGATCTGGACAGTATGGTACGTGGAGGGGACATACTGATTTGAAGTGTGGTGGGTAGGTCACATGGAGGGGACACATTAACAATATGATGTGGGTAGACAGCATAATATGGTTTAATACAGTATTCTTTTCGACCAATGAAATTTTAGAGGCATGATAATAGTAGGGGTCACCCGGTGGGTGGGTCAAAACATTTTTTCAGACAAAGTGTGCAGACTAGAGATAAACACATTCTCTATCCAGAGTTGTCTTCCGCTGCGCTCCCAACCTGTGTGGGAGTTGCGGAACGACAACTCTGGATAGAGAATGGAGATAAACAATGATGACGTAACAAGGTACGGATATAAACAGAAGTTGAGTGTGGCATTGGAATATCCGGAAAAAAAAAATTACCAATACAATGCAATGCTATACGATGGTATACATTATTTTATGTTGCACATAAATACAATTATCAAAACTTATGATAAATTCTAGAAACTTTAATTTATCACTCCAGATAATTTTTGATTTTTTAAATTACACCCCAATGTCAAATTGTATTTGGAATTCGAGATTTCGTTTTTAGCTCACCTGTGCCAAAGGCTCAAGTGAGCTTTTCTGATCAAAATTTGTCCGTTGTCTGTCGTCGTCGTCGTTGGCGTCGTTGTTGTATAGTAAACTTTTCACATTTTCAACTTCTCCAGAACTAATGGGCCAATTTCAACCAAACTTGGCACAGAGTATCCTTGGGTGAGGGGGATTCAAGTTTGTTCAAATGAAGGGACATACCTTCTTCCAAGGGGAGATAATTGCGAATTCATGAAAAATTTATGGCATCTTTCAAAAATCTACTTCTCAAGAACCACTCTGTTAAAAAATATGAAACTAATGTGGAAACATCCTCGGGTAGTGTAGATTCAAGTTTGTTCAAACCAATACCCCCAGGGGTAGGGTAGGGCCACAGTGGGCGATCAAAGTTTTACAGGAATACATAGGGAAAATCTTTAAAAACCTTCTTCTCAAGAACAACAAAGCCATGATTGGTCATTTTTATATGGAAGCATCCTCAAGTAGTGTAGATTCAAGTTTGTTCAAATCATGACCCCTGGGGGGTAGGGTAGGGTCACAGTGGGCGATCAAATTTTTACATAAAGGGAATATATTCAAAAATCTTGTTCTCAAGAACAGCAAAGCTATGATTGGTCATATTTTATGGAAGCATTCTCAGGTGGTGTAGATTCAAATTTGTTCAAATTATGACCCCTGGGGGTAGGGCAGGACCACAATGGACGATCAAAGTTTTACATAGGAGTATATAAGAAAAAATTCAAAAAATCTTCTCAAGAACAACAAAGCTATGATTGGTCATATTTACATGGAAGCATCCTCAGGTGGTGTTGATTCAAATTTGATCAAATCATGACCCCCAGGAGTAGGGTGGGGCCACAATGGATGATCAAAGTTTTACATAGGAATATATAGGAGAAATCTTTAAAAATCTTGTTCTCAAGAACAGCAAAGCCATGATCGCTCATATTTATATGGAAGCATCCTCAGAGAGTGTAGATTCAAGTTTGATCAAATCATGACCCTCAGGGGTAGGTAGGGGCCATAATGAAAGTTTAAACTTGTAGGAAAAAAGTCACAGTTGGTCAAAAAAGAAAATGTAAGCATCCTTAGTTAGTGTAGATTCAATTTTGTTCAAATCATACCCCCCTCCCTTTTAGGGGTAGGTCGGGACCACTTATGCATTTAAGCATTGTAATACTAAACTGATTTTTGCTTTTTTCCTAGCCACAGTGCTCAGGTGAGCGATGTGGCCCCTGGGCCTCTTGTTCAATACTTACGGGGGTCTGGTTGTGTGGACTCCAAATATGTTGATTGAAGTATGGTTGAAGTTGACAAACAATCTTAAATACAATGTTTAGTGTAAGTGGTATATTATATGAATATAGAAAGGAATGAATAAGAAAATTATTTATATGTACATTTTTTTTTTAAATTAAATTTTTGGTGTTGCGTGATTAAGATATGTGTAAAAACAAAACTGCATATATCTCTTAAATGTCACACGTGACATCAACATAATAAAATATTATTTTTACATGTACCTGGTTCAATTCAACAGAAAAAAAATAAGACAGCTTATCATGTTCGGATATTGACACTTTTTCAGTTGATATAGAAGGTCGAATCGTACAGTCTGTTTCCAAATATAATTATTTGATCATAAATATTTTAAACTAAA